AAGTGGAAGAGGAACACGAGGATGACGAGGACGGCGAGGATCAAGCAGCCTATGCTGCTCTTACTTGCTAAGCATGCCCTGCAAGGAAGGGTGAGGAGGAAGGGGGCGGGGGAGGACGCGGGGAAGGATCGCGGATAGAGGACGAGGAGTGGGAGAATGGAGGAAGAACGATGAGGACAGCAGGAACGAGGGGGAGGAGGAGAAGGAAAAGTAACAGCAGGAAGATACAGGGAAGTGAAAGCCGAAAAGGAGGGAGGGTAGGGAGGGTAGGGAGGGTAGGGAGGGAGAAAGAGATGGAGGAGGAGATGGAGGAGGGGGAGAGAGGGGAAGGACGAGCAGAGGAGGGGAAAACATAGAGGAGGGAAAGGAGGGAGAAGAAGAACAGTTAGGGGGAAAGTCGGGGGGCCGGGGGGGGTTGCTAGAGGTGCGAAATGCCACCACATGGCTTTGCCATGTGGCGCAAGTTTTTTCGGCTTCTCTCTTTCTGTGTGTGTGTGTGTGTGTGTGTGTGTGTGTGAGAGAGAGAGAGTTTCCATTGGTCGGTTGCCTCCCCCCGCCGTGCATCACCTGATGCATTGGCTTTTGCGAGCGAGAAGCCGCAACAGGTCATCTAGTTTCAATAAAGTATTCAATGTCCATCTGCTTGGCATTGACTGTTCAATACAAAACACTCGAGCAGCCGTATTGCTAGGCGTGCATCTTGGAGCATTTCCCAGAAGACTTGGGACGGCTTGACATTTGCTGTTCAATACAAAACATTCGAGCAGCCGTATTGCTAGGCGTGCATCTCGGAGCATTTCCCGCAAGACTTGGGGCGAAGTCGAAACCGAGCGGCACATGTCCGATCAGATCCTGGACAGATGTGTGTGTGCGTGTTGTGGGTGGGTGGGTGGGTGGGTGGGTGGGTGGGTATGTGGGTGCATGTGTGTGTGTGTGTGTGATCGAACTCCAAGTAGCGTTGAAGTGTAGCGAAGTAGAGCATCAATCCTGCCCCTAAAAAAAGCACATCGTGCGCACCTTCCCGATCCCCTCTATTGACCAACAAAAGAATAGAGAGAGAGAGAGAGAGATGTGCAGTTGAGCGATGTATATGGAGCCAAGGATCCACAAAGTGATGAAAAGGACTTGAATGGACAATGCAGTGTCAGCAAAGCATCAACAAGAAATGTGCATCCAGATACATATGAAAATAGCACAATGTAGCGCAACGGAAGACTTGACCTGACCTGTCAGATACGGACATGACACCCCATCATACACCACACAGTGGGCCTCGTCGGGGTGCCTCTTGTCCTGGCCTGAAATGGGCTACTCGGTCTGGGTCCCGACCAGACTTCCAGACCCTCCCTGCATCAATCCTGCCCCCCAAAAAAAACACGTCGCGCGCACCTTCCTGACCCCCTCTATTGACCAACAAAAGAAGAGAGAGAGAGAGAGAGAGAGAGAGAGAGAGAGAGAGAGAGAGAGAGAGAGAGAGAGAGACCGGATGTCCGAAGGGCGTGCGGCCTGGGGGCCCTTGGCAACCGTTGGGCGCCCAAAATGGGGCCCGTGTGAACTCACAGCATGTAACAGAGAGAGAGAGTAGCAAAGTTTAGGGTAGCAGCGTAGAGTAGTGTCAAGTGTAGCAGCGTAGAGTGCATCGATCGTAGAGAGTCATAGCAAGGCCGAGCATAGAGTAGCCCATCTGATCCCACCTTCTCTGCCCACCGCACCCACCTTCCCTCACCTCCCCGCCCACCTTTCCCTTCTGCGTGCACCCGCTGCGCCCACACTCTTAGGTTGCACCTTTTCTCGTCCACGACGACCCTATTCCCCCACTGCCCAATCATCTTCGGCTACTGACGCTGTTGATTCTACTCCTCTAGTGCAGCTCTCTCTCTCTCCCTCTCTCTCTCTCTCTCTCTCTCTCTCTCTCTCTCTCTCTCTCTCTCTCTCTCTCTCTCTATCTATCTATCTATCTATCTATCTATCTATC